GAGAGCTATGTCCCTGTAATTTGTCACCTGTAGAAACATTTTTTAAGTACCTACTGCAACCTGAAAACATGCTCCCTGCTGGAGATACAACAGATCCTCAAACAGAACCTGTCTTTGAGGGGCTTACACATTTGTGGAAAGATCAACATTCATCAAATGGTGTCAACGGAAGTTCAGGAGGCTCGTGGGCCTGTAACAAGGGAGCCTGAGACAGGATAAACTTCCCTGCAGAGTGGACTTCGAGCAGAGAGCTGAAAGCAGCAGAGGGGAAGGGGAGGACCAACATGGGCAGAGGCCCCAAGGTGAGCAGAAGAATGGAACAGTGGAAGAGAGGACTTGAGTCTGCTCTGGCTGAAGCAAGAAAGAAGGAAAAAGTGACACCAGGTGAGGCTGGAGAGGCAGCCAGCCACTCCAGAGATCTCAGCCTTCGTCCTGGAGCCCTGGGCAAGTCCTGCAGGGCTCTACGCACAGGATCAGACCTGTGATGTTGGGGGATTCCTCTAACTGAAGTGTCGACAGCAGGTGGGGCAGCGGCCAGAGCTGCTGCAGGCGTCCGGGTGTCCAGGTGAGGCGGGAGCAGGGACCGGCTGGGAGCAGCAGAGAAGGGGACAAGCTCTGGTGTGAACATCAGAAGACGTGATCAGTTAGGGGTGAACTCTTCTCAGAAGTACTGAGGGGAAGGAAGATGGTGCTTTCACCCCAAGTCAACTTTCAAAGAGGGATGCTCAGCACAGCTTTTTCACTAACGAGTGAAGAGCTCATGGTTGCATCAGCATCATCCCACCTCACTCTGGGAATTAACCTCAGTCACCACTCTTCTCACCACAAGGAAGCCCAGCATTTGTCCTCAAAGGCTCCATGAGAGAAAAAGAGGCTTCTGATTTGTGACTGTACATTAGATTAACCAACTTAGAGGCAAATGACAAATTGAGAAGAACCACTTGCAACATATACAACACACAAAGCATTAATGTCCTTCAGGAGCTCTTACAAACCAACAAAAGTATGAACATGAAACAGAAATAAAGAGACTGAAGTATGCAAATACATAGATCATCAGAATGTTCACTGCACCACTGTTTCCAACAGTGAAAATATTAGATGCAATCTAAACATCCCACTGATAAGAGTGTGGACACTTAATGGAATCTATGCAGTCATTAAAAACAGTGTTGTGGACCCCAAATGGCCAAAAGGATCTTGAAAAACAATATCAAAATTGGAAAATTCATATCTCCTAATTTCACAACTTACTACAAAGTTATGGTAATCAAAACAGTGCAGTATGGGCATAAAGACAGACATACAGACCAATGGAACAGAACAGAGAGTCCAGAAATAAACCCTCATATTTACGGTCAAATGATTTTCAATAACAGTGCCAAAGCCATCCAATAGGGAAGAGGACAGGCTTTTCAGTGAATGATGCTAGGAAAACTGGATAACCACATGCAAAAGAACAAAGTTAGACCCTTACCTTAAGTCATATAAAAAAATTAACTCAAAATCAAACAAAGACCTAAATGTAGCAGCCAAATCTATAAAACTCTTAGAAGAGAAAATAGGGAAAAGCTTTGTGACATTGAATTTAGCGATGATTTCTCGGATATGACAACAACCGGCTACATCAAAATTAAAACCGTTTGTGGTCAAAGGGCATTATCACGAGACTGAAAGGGTATGCTCTCAGAATGGGGGAAAATATGCGCAAATCATATCTGAAAGAGATTAGTATCCATAATATATAAAGAATGCCTGCAACTCAAACAAATGAACAAACAACCTAATTTAAAAATGGGCCATGGACATAAATAGGTATTTCTCCAAAGATACACAAATAGTTGAAACGACGGTCAACATCATTAATCATTAGAGAAATGCGAACCAAAACCACAGTGTCACATCACTTCATAGCTATTAGGATAACTATTGTCTAAACAATAAGAAATAAGTGTTGGCAAGGTGGCAGAGAAATTGGAACCCTCGTGCATTGTTGGTGAGAATGTAAAATACTGTAGTTATTATCGAGAACAGGATGGCAGTTCCTCAAAAATTAAAAAAGAAATTAAACA